TGTCACTTCTGCCATCTGAGCTGGGCAATTCCCACTCATAGCCTGTATAGAAGAGGCAGGGAGGGAGGGAGGGAGCATCAGTGATTTGGATCTATAGCCCTTCCCTTGACTGTGAAATAAATACCTCAGGCTTGGATTTGTCACTGAAATAAAAATCAGTGACAGACTGAAAGAGCCTTCTCTATGCCAGTGCTGAACAGCACGGCTGCAGTAGCCTTTTTGGAAGACACGGGGAAAAGAGGCACGTGGACTGTAGAGAACGGCAATGTCCTGTTGGACCCACTATTATTACTGTAGCCAGAAAAAGAGAACAAATAAAGTGATTCACCCATTCTCTGGTCAATGGCAGTGGGCTTATATTGACACAGCTGTTTATTCCTTTGTTTCTGAGGTCCAAAGTGCTATTTAAATGTATATGTTTTCTTCTGATGTCTCAGACAGCACCACTGTTCTCATTCACAAATGGAAAGCCAAGACATCCCTTCTAGCCTCTGCTCCATGGCACTCCATAGCAACAGAGCATTCTTGGACATGGCCAGCTTTGTCAGGCAGATAACTGCTACCAACAACTAAACAGGCATATGTATGGGCTCAGGGTAGAACGGTAGCTAAATGGGCAAAAATCCTGACATGCCAGAAAGGGCAGATAATCAGGAGACACTGTCAGGTCAGCACTGGTGGCTCTTGACCTGTAATGTTAACACGCACAGTCGTGAGGCACTGCTTGGTCTGTGTTGAGTTGAGGAGATTCCTCACCCTCTCATGGATTTTCTCTCAGGTGAGATCCAAACTGGAATTTCACCTAACGAAAGGAATCCAACTGTCACAATTCTCCCGGCAAAACTGGCTGCTTGAGGCTTGGATGGGCACACGCTTTGCTGGGTAAGAAACTGTCTGGATGGCCGGGCCCAGAGAGTTGTGGTGAACGGAGTTAAATCCGGTTGGCGGCCGGTCATGAGTGGTGTCCCCCAGGGCTTGGTGTTGGGGCCACTCCTGTTTAACATCTTTACTGATGATCTAGACGAGGGGATCGAGTGCACCCTCAGTCAGTTTGCAGGTGACCCCAAGTTGGGTGGGAGTGTTGATGTGCTCGAGGGTAGGGAGGCTCTGCAGAGAGACCTGGACAGGCTGGAGCCATGGGCTGAGCCCAACTGGGGGAGTGTCCATAAGGCCAAATGCCGGGGGCTGCCCTTGGGCCACAACAACCCCCAGCAGCGCTACAGGCTTGGGGAGGAGTGGCTGGAGAGCTGCCAGTCAGAGAGGGACCTGGGGGGGTTGACTGACAGCCGGCTGAACAGGAGCCAGCAGTGTGCCCAGGGGGCCAAGAAGGCCAATGGCATCCTGGCTTGTGTCAGCAATAGCGTGGCCAGCAGGGACAGGGAAGGGATCTTACCCCTCTACTGGCACTGGGGAGGCCGCACCTCGATTCCTGGGTTCAGTTTTGGGCCCCTCACTCCAAAAAGGACATTGAATGACTCGAGCGTGTCCAGAGAAGGGCAACGAGGCTGGTGCAGGGTCTGGAGCACAGGTCGTACGGGGAGCGGCTGAGGGAACTGGGGGGTTTTAGTCTGGAGAAGAGGAGGCTGAAGGGAGACCTCATTGCCCTCTACAGCTCCCTGAAAGGAGGCTGCAGAGAGCTGGGGATGAGTCTCTTGAACCAAGTAACAAGCGATAGGACAAGAGGCAACGGCCTCAAGTTACACCAGGGAAGGATTAGATTGGGTGTTAGGAAGCATTTCTTTCCAGAAGGGGTTGTTGGGCATTGGAATGGGCTGCCCAGGGAGGTGGTGAAGTCCCCATCCCTGGAGGTGTTTAAGAGTCAGGTCGATTCAGCGCTGAGGGATGTGGTGAATGTTGGGAACTGTCAGTGTTAGGTTAATGGTTGGACTGGATGATCTTCAAGGTCCTTTCCAACCTAGTTGATTCTGTGAATTCAGTCCCCTTCTGGAGTGACATCATTTGATCCCTGTGGGTACACTATTTCTAATGCCTCATTCATCACATCCTTTCAAGACATCATATAAAATCACAATGATCCCTTCAGCCGCTCATATTAAATCTCCACATAGGGATGCACACAAATAATTCTTCTTTCGTCCCTTTTCCCCTTCAGGCTACTTACTTCTTCCTGCCGTGTGCTTCAGGTTTTATACTCCCAGTGGAACTCACACCCTCTCCTTTATCCCTAGCTCCTGTTCCATTACTGCCCTCCAGACTGTTTCCATCTTCCAGTGCATTCAGTGCTCTCTTCCCTGTACCGCCAGGCTTCCCTACCCAATCCTTTCCTCCAGTCCTCTCTGCTTCTCCGCATACTCCGTGAAGTCTCCTCCCCCACAGCTCTGCCTCTGCTTCCTCCCTTTCTCCTTTGACACTCTTTTCTCCTCCTCTCCTCTCTTCTCCTGCTAGCTGCCCCTGCTCAAACCAAGAGTTCCACAGGGCAAACACAGTACTTTCACCTCACCAGCCCTGCCCTCCTGCGCAAACTGCAGGGTCTACAGCTTTGAAAGGACATAAAACAGACAAGCCTGTCAGGCATCTCAAAGCAAAGTTAATGTTATTGTATAATGTTATATAATACATTATACTCTTATATAATATTATATAATGTTATCTCTGTGCAGTCTGGGCATATATGCCAGGTACGGCTTTCACTGCCATGGGAACGGGTACCAAGGTAAAAACAGGAAAGAAAGGAAGACACAGGGTAAGACTGCAATTCATGCAGTACCTTCCTGCTGGGTGGCGAAGATTACGGGGCCCAAATACAGGCAGCTTTTCCGGCATTTTGGACATGAAAGAGCACCCAAACTCCCGTGCAAAGCAGGGAGATACACAGGAAGACCGACAGGAGGCTCATGTTCTTCTGAGGTGGCAGCAGCAGCCCACACAGGATAACCCAGGGCATCAAGCTCCTGTGCTTAGAACCTGAATCCCTCAGTGGGTTTCCTGCCTGTTCTGCCATCACCTTAACATCCAGCTGTGGAGAAGATAAAGCATTTCCCTCTGGTCCAGCAATTTATTTTTAAGGTGGACATAATGCCTCTCTTAAGCATCTCACAGAAATACCACGTGGTTTAATCAAGGCATCAGAAAGCCCAAGCAAAAAGTAAACATCAAGACCTAAGGAAAAAACAGGGGGGTTCAACCAGGTGACCTCCAGAGGACCCTTCCAACCTCAACCATTCTGTGATTCTGTGACTGAAAATCCAGTTGTGAAAAGGCCGAGTAATTCATCTGCTCAAAGACACGACAAAGCAGGTTCCCAGATAAAATCCACCCAAGTAACATACTGACACATGCCGGGAGTGCTCATACTTTTGAATAAAGGGCACCACATTTACAAAAGAAGGCCCCTTCACTTAAGTAAACAAACCCAACCAAACCACCACATTTCTTATTACTCCTCTGCATTTGCTCTTGCAGGTTATGGATTGATGGAAATCTGTTCTCAATGCCTGTAAAGTTGGCATGGTAAGGGTGTTCATGAGGCAGAACAATAACATAGTATTCTTGGGGCTTCCCCCTGTGAGAGAGAAATTTCCTTAAGTTGCCAAAGGCAGCCCAGCCTACTCGAGTCCAGCCATCATTCTCCCGAATTCCTGATCAGCCCTCATATCCAACAGATCCTACACAGGACGTGGAAATCGGGTCCCAGCCAGGTACAGAATGATCAGCAAGAAGTCATTCCTGATGACGGGATTCCTCCAGCAAAGCACTTAATTGTCCCATGAGTCACCTTGCTTGTTATTTCACTCTAGTGAAATTGAGATTACCTGTGTGTCAGTGATGGACAGGTCTCAAGGAGTAGTGATAAAAAAACAGCTTTGCTTGATAGAAAAATTACTCTGACCTGATATGCCTATGTGAGTGTTTGTGTGCAGATGAACGGTGGGCGCGGAAGAAAATACACCTTCCCAGCGCACTTAGTACATAAAAAAGGGAAACAAAACAGTCCCTTCAAGACAGTAGGTATGTGGGGCAAAACTTTGTTACTCAGAGCCTTGCACAATCAGATCCTACTTCAGAATAATGAAGGCACAGTAAAATTCTCCCCTGTGCAAAGCAGCAGCAAGGCAAGGGATTTATATGGGTGCAGCTCCCACAGCATTCTTTCAAACTATATCCTGCAGTGTCAGACTACATTTGAGGCTTGTGTATGTGGCCTGCCTAGAAGCTGTGTTGTCTGTACAGTTGCTGTTCTCTTTTCTAAAGAGATTCTCTTTTCTTCTCTTCTCTAGAAGTGAGTACTTTTATATCAGATCTACTTCACCTGAGTCATGGTGAGGGTAGATGGCAGGTACTGAACTGGAAGGGACAACACAGTTGCATAAAGTCAGCAACGCTATTGTTTCTGTCTGACTGTCAAGCAAGACGTGTCAGCGTGAAAAGCTCTCTCTCACTCAGTAATACTGGTAGAGGATGGATACCAAACCTGAACCTTTGCTCAGAGAAACTGGTGTAAACTTGCATTCTGCAGCATTCCACTACACACTGATCTCCAAAGGTCCTGCAAGGAAACAGCAAAACAGAGTTGCTCTACTTACACGAGAAGGAAGCGACTCTGTCTAGAAGTGGGAGTCTACCTACTTTTCCTCCCCCAAGTTGACGGCCAATCGTGTCCAGTATTTCACTGCTCAGAGTGACACTGTCTGGCTCAAGAGCTGGCCTGAAGGAGGACACAGGATAGATGCTGCATGTTCTCAAACACAAAGCTACGGAATGCCCCTTGGAACACTGAGAACGGCTGCTCACGCTCCTCAGAAACTGACCTTGACCCTATATGCTCATCCCACAAAAAATTCCTGACCTAAGCAAGCATTTATGAAGGGAGTGGGTGGGGTTCCTCCTACACAAACTGAAGGGGAGGGTCATGCAGCTCAAACAGAAGGACACAGGTGGCTGTATGCTAGAGGGGATGGCAAATGAATCTCAGTTCCTCTCCGGGTAAGGATCATGAGCATGCAGCGTGAAATTCAGAGGCAATAAATGTGAAACCAACGGAAGGGAATACATCTGTTGTATTTGTCCACCTGAGGCATCATTCAACAGCAGAACTCTCCAGGGAACTGCAGAAAATTATTTCATGATAACGAAAGCATATCATAAAGAGAAATACAGAATTTCCATGGAACATAAATCTCACATTTCAGGGCATAAAGACAAGTATCAGTTGACAGGGGTGACAAAATCTTTCTGCAGGGTATTTTCTTCGCACAGTTGTATTCTACACGGGTTTTCATGCCCCCTTCTGAACTGTCTAGTCCTGACCACTGAAGGAGACTTGCTAGGTGAACCATGGCTTTTCTATATATCCGTACAAGAGTTATCACAATTTTTCTACTGAAGTTTATCCGAGAATCACGAGTCCAATTTGCCCAAGAGGTCAGAAAGTGAGTCCTTCCGGTCATTCAGCTTGTGATCTCACAGCACGAAGTCACTCAGGTAACTGATTTCCTTAAGAATTAGTTACGTGTTTTGAAAAGCAGAAAGACTCCCAACAGGATTTGGTGACTTGAGGTGTTGGGAGGTGGTATATGAAGCTGCACGGTGAAAAGCTGAATCCCTCTGACTGGAAGGATAATGCAAGTAACCCTCAGATCCATCTGTTCCAAGAGATGATGAATCGAGTGTCCTGTTCCAATGGTGCCTTGATCATCTGGAGAATAAGGAAGCAAATTTCCATAATGAGAACTGACACATGACATAGCAAATGAAAGCGACTGGGGAGAAAAAGGGAGGAGTTGCCCTCCACTTTATGGAAAGGAAGAATAAGACATATAATAGAGGTAAGCTGAAAATTCATAATGCCAAACATAAACCGGATATGCAGACCCACAGTGAGGCACATGAAACGGAAGCCCCTAAAACTGTGGCCCATAATTAACAAAAACATGCAGAATTCCTCATGCTGATGAGTATCTGACAGAAGCTCATCAAACCCATTATTTTAGCCAGGAACTATCTCATTCATAAAAGGGTAGGACACCACAGGAAACACGAGCAAGCTGATCCTGTCTTTACGTACAAAAGCTCACTTTGCTGCACTAGGCTAATGAGCATCCCTCCCAACTAGTTGAGCTGGCCCTTGACATGGGAGGGAATTACGGGAAGGAATCTGTGCCACACAGAAGCACCCCAAGAGAGGTTTTTACAAAACCTGCATTTTCACCTTCGTTTCCAAGGTGGGAGTTCAAGTGGGCTGTAGCTAAGCGATGAGAAAGAAGCATAGTAGCAGCCCACTCTGGGAGCTGGATGAACGTGGTTTGGTTCACTGAGGAATGGGGAGATATTGAAAGACTGTTTGATCTCTTCTTTGATATCAGACGTAATTAGTGGCATACTGGGTATTTGAGAGAAAAACAGCAGCCTTAATTTATAGGGCCTAAAACTGTCTCCATAACTACTTTTGCAAACCTGATGTTCACCAGACACATAACCTATGCCTTTCAAGGACCCTTTACTCAGAGAAGGATAAAGAAAATGGCTGGAGGCAAATTCTAGTGTCTAGAACAGGTGATGAATTGTGGTATGGTTCCCTTCAAAATCAATCTCATTTCCCTGGTAGTACTGACTGTAGGTTAGCATGTGTGCTGTTTGTCTTGCTTCACATTGCCCACGTGAAAGCTTGGCATCCCATTTTGACTAGTCATCCATTTTAGATAATCAATGAAGAGAGGTAAGAACTACTAGTATATGATATACCCCAGTTGCCTTAGATGGTGATTTTATGGAAGAACAAATCACCATCTTTCCACTGTCTGTGGCAAGAGCTGAGATGTTTAGCCCAGACTAGATGTCAAACGTTTTTCTGGCTGTAATTACCTTAGATGATTACTACTTCCATGTTGTCCATTCAATGTTCCTTCTGATGTTACTGCAGATGACAGTTCAATTATTAATGAACCGCATTAAAACCAGATGAAATACCATTATATTTGGCTCTACCAGTCCCTTGCTACAAAGGATGGAGTCTGACTGAACCTAGAGGATAGTCAGTGAATGACAGCAGAGAATGACCAAGAATAATACCCATGAAGAGCAAACATTCTTTTCCGCTACAAGTTCAGTATTTTGGTTGAGCAGTACACGTCAGAGATGGCCAGGACACAAAACCTTTCAGCGCATGGCTGTACCTGCAGATGCAGAGCAATGGCTCTAGAGCCCTTCCTTACCAATAGTGATTACTTTCTGCTACTGCTAATTTAAGCTAGGTTTGAATTCATGACTGAGAGCGAAGCAACCCTCTATTATATTGCTGTAATGATGTGTCCCAGCTACAGCTTTTGTGTGAAAGACTTCCGCACATTTGACACAGACACAATTTCTTGGGTACAACTGCCATGTAGTCTGATGTAGCAATGCAGCGTATGACAAAATGCTGACCTGGTCTCAAGTCAGTTCAGGTCTTTCAGTGTGCTAACAGTGACTTTCTTTAGCGATGGTACAAGGAATCCCAGACCAAAGGTTGTATTTGCATAAGAAACTCCCATTTAAGATCATATTACATTGGTTTTGCTGATGATGATGATAGTCAAGAGACTTAAGACTAGTGCTGATGCAAGTATGTTTTTACTTGCTATGCCTCCAAGTGAAATGCAGGAATTGGCAAAGAGCCATTTGGTCTTCTCCATTCTGGCCTAGCTGTAGACCACTTCAAGCTAGACTGCTCTACAGTTTTTATTGAAATGGGTCTCTAAAGGTGTAAACAGCTGTAAACAGTCAAGCTGGGCAGGAACACTTCAGCATAGTTTATCACTATTGTTGTGCAAAATCAAGGATTTGGGGTGATGATTTTTTTTTTTTTTTTTTTTTTTTTACCTTTGCTTACTTCTGGAGGGCTTTCATCTTCCCTATGCCAAAGTATCGTGTCCCTCACATTTTCTCCATGACAGATAACTTGAATTACCCATTACAGTCTTCTGAACCATCAGCCCTCCTCGCGGAACTGTTCTATTAGAATACGTAGTGACAGAAGAGAAATTCACAACTTTCCACTTGTTGTTTTTTAATTAAAAAAGCAAGCTCACTACCCTGGACCTCAGGAGAGCAGACTTGGCCTCCTCAGGGACCTGCTTGCCTGAGTTGCATGGAATAAAGCCCTGCAGAGAAGAGGGGCCCAAGAAAGCTGGTTGATATTCAAGGATCACCTGCCCGAGCTCAGGAGCGATGCATCCCGACAAAGAGGAAGTCAGGCAAAAATGCCAGGAGAACTGCATGGATGAACAGGGAGCTCCTCAACAAGCTCAGACATAAAAAAGAAGCCTACAGAGGGTGGAAGCAAGGACACGTAGCCTGGGAGGAATATGGAGAAACTATCGGAGCACCCGGAGATCAGGTCAGGAAGGCTAAAGCCCTGATAGAATTAAATCTGGCCAGGTATGTCACGGGCAATAAGAAAAGCTTCTGTAAGTGCGTCAGTGATAAAAGGAAGACTAGGGAACATGTGGGCCCTGGAACGAAATGGGAGACCTGGTTACCTGGGATATGGAGAAGGCTGAGGTACTCAATGACTTTTTTGCTTCAGTCTTCATTGGCAAGGGTTCTGGCCACACTCTCCAAGATGCCGAAGGCAAAGGCGGGGACTGGGAAAATGAACTGGGAAGAACCACCCACTGTAAAAGATCAGGTTTGAGACCATGTAAGGAAGCTGAAGGTGCACAAGTCCACGGGACCTGATGAGATGCATCCACGAGAACTGAGGGAACTGGTGGATGAAGTGGCTAAGCCACTATCCATTATATCTATGAAGTCATGGCAGTCCAGTGAAGTTCCCTCCAACTGGAAAGGATGAAAAAAGCGCCCCATTTTCAAAAAGGGGGAAAAAAAGAACAAGGGGTAATGGCTTTAAACTAAAAGGGGGTAGATTCAGATTAGACATAAGGCAGAAGTTCCTTCCTGTGAGGGTGGTGAGACACTGGCACAGGTCGCCCAGAGAAGTTGTGGACACCCCCTGCCTGGCAGTGTTCAAGGCCAGGTTGGACAGGGCTCTGAGCAACCTGGTCTGGTGGAAGGTGTCCCTGCCCATGGCATAGATTCTATGAGCTACCTTAACTGAGGTATTTGATGCTTCACACTTATCAAAAGATGAAACTAATAAAAGATTAGTATTTCAGCGGCTGCTATTGGCAATTAATCTTACATTGGCACTTTCAACAGATTAGCACTAAAGTAAAAGAGAGACCACTCAAAACATTTCGTTCAGGAGATGCTTTTTGTAATCTCAATTACTTGTGTTAAGAGTCTTTCCATCTGGAGAAAAACTGCTACTGTGCAATTGCCTCCATGCAATAATGCCTCTTAAACTTCTGGGTACTCTGAAGAGATATGTGTGCAAAAGGACTGATTTCTATCAAGCTATTTCTCAGAACACAAGTGCACAGATCTTCCTGGACTGTATGACTTCCTTGTCATTTCCCAATATGCTGACTGGATTTTTAATAGTTTGCATATGACAAGGGGCAGAACAGATGACACATGAAAACTGACACGACTTCATACTGATGCAAGGATTCAGCCACCGCCCCCCGTACGTCTTTCTATGAATGTGAATGGACTTCGGATGAGGACCCTCAGAGATCCTCTCTGAAACAACAAAGAACTGGAGTAAAACATGCAAGCCTAGTCTGTGAAGAGGAAAGATAGTGGGATCCCCTTTTTCCTGAAGTGTCTTCAAGATTGGTTTTATTCGGAGGCGTATGCTGCTTAACATGTGGGAAATCACTTGCCGGAACTCCCACATACATGTTTACATTCTGCCCCTTCTAGCCAGGTGTTGCTACCTGTCCACCCCAAACAGTGTTTTCTTTTGTGAACAGTTCATGTGAACTGAAAAACAGCACAAGCCGGCATGTATTTTTAAAAAGATTTGTTTGAGATGGGTGGTAATATCAACGTCAGTATTAGCCCTGTTCTATTATTACTAGCAGCAAATTACAAGTACCTCCTTTCACAAGGAATTTAAGAGAATCTCTTGCTGATCTCACACTTTGCTTCACCTTCTGGTAAGGTAACAGCAAGGTTAATTCACTGAATGATTTAGAACTGTCCCACCTGAAAATTAAGAAATAATAGGAAGGTGAACTTCTTAACGTACACAAACTTGCTCTAATGTAAAGCATCTCCAGCCTTCACAGACAGTAATAAACTCATTCACCCTTCCTTTCTTACTCTGTCTTTGTCCCTCATCAAGTGCAAAAACATCTATACTGCATGATGCAAACATGTTGTGTAAAATCACCTCCACTAAAAAAACAGTTTGCTCTGCTTTTTAGATTTCATTTCATAACTAGAGACTTGCCAGAAGATGTAACATTTCAGGACAACATGCACAGCAAGAAACATACACAAGTTTTAGGAATATGAAGTGACACTTTATTTCTGGAAACAAGAACAACTTTTCTACTCTCAGTTTCCTGCACTGGCCCTCAACTCTCTGCAGCAAAAATCATTCTAAAGCAAGCGGTCTTCTTCTGAAAGTTAAGAAATGCTGCTACGAAGGAAGTAATCAGAGTTGTTACTGTGAGAGGCAGGTTCTTTCTTCCTCAGAGAAACATGTCCTTGGCTCCTAATTCCTGTTCACTTGATCCCTGCTTCCAAGGAGGAAAATGACTGCTTTTTCCCTCTTCTAAGCACTGATTACATCAATAAATGGCTCCTTAGTGCTAGACCAATAGTCCCAACATCTGGTCACTACACCTTCTCTGCTTTCCACGCTAAACCAGAAACCTCCTCAAAGGACTGGTAGTATTTCCCAATGCTGGATGCAGGCTAGACTTTCATGTCATCTCGGCAGGTCTCACTGTCCACTTCCTCAAGGGAAGCAGAGGGGGAGGTGCTGATCTCTCTGTGGTGATGAGCGATAGGACACAAGGAAATGGAATGAAGCTGCATCAGGGGAATCTCAGACTGGACATTACGAAAAGGCTCTTCACTGAGAGGGTGGTTGGTCACTGGAACAGCCTCTCCAGGTCACAGCACCAAGCCTGTCAAAGTTCAAGGAGCATCTGGACAATGCTCTTCTAGTCACATGATTTAGTTTTAGGTAGTCCCGAGAGGAGTGGGACTCAATGATCCTTATGAATCCCTTCCAACCTGAGATATTCTGTGATTCAATCATTCTTTTTTAACATCTCTGGCAGTAAGATGGCAAAGAGTATGAAGACAAAACTCAGGTGAGCAAGACTAGGAGTCTGCTTCTGCTGCTAAATATTACACAGATGTTTCAGTAAGATCACAGTACGCTACATTACTGGTGAATCCGCGCCAGGAAGAACTGGTTGTGGATCTGAAGGTCAGGCGCAGCCTTGGCTACAGTGACCAGGAGGCACTGGAGTTCAGGACAGTATCAAAGCAAAAACCAGGAACACAAGCATGGGTTTCAAGAGAGCAGGGTCTGGAGCACAGGTCGTATGGGGAGTGGCTGAGGGAACTGGGGGGTTTTAGTCTGGAGAAGAGGAGGCTGAGGGGAGACCTTATTGTCCTCTACAGCTACCTGAAGGAAGCTGCAGAGAGCTGGGTTTGAGCCTCTTTAACCTAGTAGAAAGCAACAGGACAAGAGGCAATGGCCTCAAGTTGCACCAGTGAAAGCTCAGGCTAGATATTAGGAACCATTTCTTTTCAGAAGGGGTTGTTGGGCTGCCCAGAGAGGTGGTGGAGTCCCCATCCCTGGAGTTGTTCAGAGTAGGGTCGATTTGGAGTTTAAGGATATGCTGTAGGTGGGAACTGTGCTAGGCGAACGGTTGGACTGGATTATCTCCAGGGTCCTTTCCAACCTAGATGAATCTGTGAAATTATGTGAAACATGCAATGCATTGGTATTTCTCAACAGGTGATAACTGCGAGTTGAGAAGGAGTTTGACTTCACCCTGGCTTTCATCAGCTTTGTGGGCAGATGATCTTCAAACTTTGAGAATTCTGAGCCTGAGTGTCATCCCAGCTCAGTGAAGATGCTAGTGACAGCCTGCTGTGATCCAAAAGAGCTCAGAGGGTCTTGCTTAGAACTGTTATTTGTAGGGTCCAAGATAATTGACTCTCATCAGGTACTTTTCCATTTCATCCCAAATAGGATGACGGAATATTCTGGTACTTTTTACCAGTTGTGCAAGCCCAGAACTTGTTAGATCTTGGAGTTGTGCTATCACCTCCTTTGGGCCACAACCCAAGCATAGATGTACTAGGCTGTCAGGAGGTCTTGATTGTTCATATTGTTCTTAAGCAGTAAGAGAGGGGGGCAGAAACCAAGTGGACTAATGGAGGCCTTAATGCTCCAGTCCCCTGCCTTTGTCATTGTTCTCAAATGGTAGGAGAGGAGGGGGCAGAAATGAAGTGGACTAACGGGGGCACCTTAAGCTCTGGTCTACTGCCTTTCCCAAGCCATTTGAGTTGTCATGTGGCCTGTTCCCAAGGAACAGGAGAGGTGGGAATCAGGAGCGTTAGAGTAGTGCCTTTATGTTCTAGTTCTGTACCTCTCCCTATTTATCCTGGGTTGGCATGTGACCCAAGGGGGGAAAAATTGCACTAAGCACTGAGCAGCCTGAGAAGCGGGGGGGGGGGG